AGCTCTGCTATATCTTAAACTCTCACATCTGTTCCCCATATTGAGCTCTACTATAACTTAAACTCTCACATCTGTTCCCCATATTGGGTCCTACTATATCTTAAACTCTCACATCTGTTTTCATATTGAGCTCTACTATATCTTGAACTATAACATCTGTTTTCATATTGAGCTCTACTATATCTTAAACTATAACATCTGTTTTCATATTGAGCTCTACTATATCTTAAACTCTCACATCTATTTTCATATTGAGCTCTACTATATCTTAAACTATAACATCTGTTTTCATATTGAGCTCTACTATATCTTAAACTATAACATCTGTTTTCATATTGAGCTCTACTATATCTTGAACTATAACATCTGTTTTCATATTGAGCTCTACTATATCTTAAACTATAACATCTGTTTTCATATTGAGCTCTGCTATATCTTAAACTATAACATCTGTTTTCATATTGAGCTCTGCTATATCTTAAACTCTCACATCTGTTCCCCATATTGAGCTCTACTATATCTTAAACTATAACATCTGTTCCCCATATTGAGCTCTGCTATATCTTAAACTCTCATATTGACTATATAAACTCTCACATCTGTTCCCCATATTGAGCTCTGCTATATCTTAAACTCTCACATCTGTTCCCCATATTGAGCTCTGCTATATCTTAAACTCTCACATCTGTTCCCCATATTGAGCTCTGCTATATCTTAAACTCTCACATCTGTTCCCCATATTGAGCTCTACTATATCTTAAACTCTCACATCTGTTCCCCATATTGAGCTCTGCTATATCTTAAACTCTCACATCTGTTCCCCATATTGAGCTCTACTATATCTTAAACTATAACATCTGTTCCCCATATTGAGCTCTGCTATATCTTAAACTATAACATCTGTTTTCATATTGAGCTCTACTATATCTTAAACTCTCACATCTGTTCCCCATATTGAGCTCTACTATATCTTAAACTATAACATCTGTTTTCATATTGAGCTCTACTATATCTTAAACTATAACATCTGTTTTCATATTGAGCTCTACTATATCTTAAACTATAACATCTGTTTTCATATTGAGCTCTGCTATATCTTAAACTCTCATATCTGTCCCCCATATTGGGTTTTATCATATTTTAAACTCTCACATCTGTTCCCGATATTTAGCCCAGCCCCTCTGCCCACTATTAATTTACATAAATTGGAAACGAAATGTGGTCAGAATCCTTACATTTTAACAGATAAGAACGTAGGTCTTTCTGACACCCTGGCAAAATGCAACGCGGCCGACCCAACAGACTATTATGTGCACTTACACCCACACGTAGACATGCTCCTTCTCACGTACAAACTCACACAATCATGTACTCCACGCTTGACATGTCTGAACACACTGGACAAACAAGATACTGATATGAACAGGCAGAGTGACAACACCGGACTCACGTGGACAATATAAATAGGCATACAGGTAAACAGGGAACACTCCCTGTAACCTGTGGCACACATTATTAACAAACACATGTATTGTGTTGACTACAGTGAGACCTCACCAAACGACCACCTTATAATTAATATATATTATGATATAAACTAAGGATTATATACATATATATTCTTTTGTCAATTCACTAATTTTGTCTTATTTACATGCATTTCACAACATTTTCTATACAGCTCAGTTATTATTGCTGATTAGTATACATGTACATTACTTAATGGTATATATAAAGTCTTTATTTTAAACAGAGTTACGGTTCTTTGCGGCCAATCTGATACACCTCACTATTAAGACCACCTCGCTATTAAGACCACTTTTGTCCTGTCCCCAAAGTGGTCTGAATAGCAAGGTTTCACTGTATATAAAATAACTTTATGACATATCGATTTCAGAGATGACATCTAGCTGCTCTATAGTATAATGCCACTAAGCCCTCAGAATGGATGGAATCTACTGTTTAAAGTTCCTTCTACCAAAGGATGCTTCGGAGGAAATTTTATTTTGTCTATATTGGCAGGGACAAAGGTTCACTATTTCCCTTCACTCTAAGGTTTTTTTTTCATAAATACCTACAAAAGAAGTTGTAAGTTATAGAACTTGCTCAACTTTTCCTTTTGGATCCACCTCTCTGGCACTAGGAGGCCAATCCACCATTTATACTTAATTGGTTATTCTTCCCAAAGGGCGCTTCGGAACAAACTTGATCAAAATACCTTTATCCCAACGGAAAGTGTGTCAGCATGGCATTAAGCTCGCCGGGCTCTCGGTCTAGGACAGCCAGAATATATAGTCTCAATAGAGTAAGTGTATAAGTAATTACATATTTAGACATTTTAAAATTTACTGTGTCTTTTATCAACAAGGAACTAGCGACATAATACCAACATATTAATTTGAAATCAAAGGCTGTGAAAGTTAAGCAGGAAGTGACACAAGAAGAGAGATTTATAAACGGTGACACTGAAAAAAAAAAGAGATCAAGAACAGATGTGCCAAACGGGTGACTTTGCGCGTCTTTTGTAACCTAGTTTCTTAACTGGTCAATCTTGGGAAGTATACAGTTTTTGAACTGAAACTGGGTTTAAAACAACATAATATTCAAACATACTAATTACCATTAAACTTGCACAATCTTTATCACGAGGGTTTGGATGGTTGCCGTCCTAGATACACGATTTATTTACACATCGTAATTAATTCTACACCACTGAAAGGCTTTGGGTAAATATTTCCCCATCATTATGGAAATCGTAAGATCAACATAACTGATCATTGCCTGTAATTTCTTAATTCAAATTAGTCTTAATTAGTTACATTGATTTGGCCATGAATATTCGTGTTGCTTTTTTGGAGGTGTGATTGTAATTTTGTCGATTTTTAGTTGTGATTATGATTTTAAGGACGGTCGGTACACGCCGGAGAAGTTAATGGATGTCACGATGGGCGTTGATGCGATTTACCGGGACTAACCCCAGTTTTCATCCAATCGTTGATGAGTATTTTTGCAAAATTCACTCACTTATAAATACACAAGTCATTCATTGATATCTGATCTATCTAGGATTTGAGCAGTCAGCTGTGAAATCGACATAATGTAAATTTCGTAGCGTATAATGCTAAGAAGCTCATATTTGCCAAATCGTCTTTGCTACGGTTATGGTAAAAGCAACTGACTTCCTAAATTTGTAATAGGCCTACATGTGCTGACAATATCAGTTCTTCAAATCACCGACTTAGATCTCCCTAAGTCGTCTGATCCACACAACCTTGTGTTTCAATGTAATACTAAAAAGATATACAGTGAAACAGCTTAAACACTTATTGATGATTTTTAAAGGTCAACAATGTGTGAAATGGAGACCAAATGAGTTATCTATAAGATAAGCGAGGTTTTGTCAATTTTAAACATCTATAGATAGATACGTATTAAAAACATCATATTTATGCGAAGGGTAAAGAGGCTTAAATGTCGTGTTATCTAAATCCGATTGATTGATTGTTCGGGTTATCGTCTCACCGACGAACGTCAGTGTTCCGGCGACGTGTGAATCAAAATCAGATCACGAGACTTGGCTTGTTAGGGTCAACCAGCGTCAGGTGCAATTGACATAGGACGTATGCAGGCACTAGTAGAAGGAAGATATCTAGGTCACCGTATGGATTATGATCGATTTCACTAATGTCTTTATATTATATTGTTATCTTATTGGCACATATGTCATATATGTAGTCTACATACGCTCGATAAAAATTTCCAGCTGTAGCTACATGTAAGTATTTGTACACCACCCAGAAAAATCACTGAAAGTGTAGACGCCTACGCACCTGTGCGTGCGGTCATGTCGAGCAGGCCTAGGTTATGGCTGTTCGGTCATTAATTTTTAATGACCGTGGACCTCGGATTTTTCAACCGGCACATATATGATATTTCGTTTAAATAACCATCTAAAACAAAAATCAATGGGCACTTGTACGTGCGGTAAAATGTCGAGCAGGCCTAGGTTATGGCTGTTCAGAGATATATGTACCATCCGGGCACTTGTACTTAAAATATCGGTGAACTCATGTTCTTGTCATTTCCGGATTATCAAATGGTAATCGTAAAAATCACTTTCTCATGATGTGAATGAACACGTGTAGTTGATTTAGTAATTTACAACTCGACAAGATTTCTATATAACAAACACTAACGTTCAATGCAATGCTTGAAATTGTGTCACATCTCGCCTCATGAAAGCAAGCCCCAAACAAAACCACTCCCCCTCCAATGCACCGACTGTGTCCCCACTGCTGTTTGCAAACAAACGCATTGAAGCCGGTTAACATGTCCTTGACCTAAAGAATGTGTAAGGGTGAACTCGCTCAGCTGATTGACTACTATATTTAGGAACGACGAATAAGGTAATGTCATAGAGCAGTCTACATTCCAGACATAGTAGCCTCAAGTGAAGAATTTGATATAATCTTTATAAGCATGTAAATAAATGCTAAGTTTAGGGCTATAATTCTATCAATCTTGGTTCTAGGTATATTTCTAGTATTATTTTGGTGTCAAGGCTGTCGTTTTAGTAACAAATGAATTGTAGTAAAGTCAAATACAAAAATGTTTTACAAAATTATGTTGAATTCTCCCTACTTCTGATTCTGGCCGACTGCCAAACAGCTGTTGATTTGTTTCCCGCGTCTTGCCAACGGAGTGGTAAATTGGCTTGGGAAAGTAGTAGTATTACGCGTAAAAATATAATCTGTCATGTTTCGTGAAAAGTAACGATTTTATAGTTGTTTGTAAAGACAATACGATGATAATTTTGTTTCATGTTGCAATCTAATTTACAGCTATGAGAATATTTTGCTCCATACTCATTTAAGAAGAAATGTTGGCGAGCGACGCGGGCACTACCTTCTTGTCGTGAATCGACCAACAGCTGTTTCCCGCCAATTATTACTCATTCTTCTCGGGCTACGACAACCTGATCGTAAATTCAGAATACAACTGTAAATATTACATATTTTGGGAATTATTACTACTGAAGTTTTATCCGAAGATGTCAGTTTATCATAGAGGAGGAGAGAGGAGAAAAATGTTAACGGATTATCGCATCCGAGAAGAGGATTATACGACAGACTTTGGGAGGTGAGTTGTAACGCTCCGTACTCACGCTCGCAGAATATAAACATTATCGTAGCTGTGAGTAACCCACCTTGTTTCGTGAATAATTTCTTTGTTTTTATTTACACCTTTACACAACTGTTACAATATGATTTAATATTATATGTAGTTAAGTAATGCGCAATAGTTTCACATTAGCAATGCTTTATTTTTGTGAACTTTGATGAAAATTTAGCAGTTGTCTCCGGTCGGCTCGATCACATGGTACACATGAAAACAAAGGGCAGCTAACTCGTCCTCGTGTACCAAGTCAAAGACAATTCTTCTAACATTTTTTTCTGTTTATTTTGCTAACTGGCTTCAAATAATAGGGTTTTCAACATACTTTTTCTTTTGGTTTGACGTTTGATCATTTATCATAGTCTGGTACATTTTGCAAAGACGACGTCTTTTCCATATGGCCGGTTCGCAAAATTGGCTAAGTGCCAACATTTTTTAAAGTAGGCGTAGTTAAACTATTCTGTCATGCATGCCTACAGTAGACCTATGAAATTATGTGTACATTTGTAGTAGTATTTTGTCAAGTAATAATCTTATGTACCTTTAAAATGTATTGATTGATGATAAATTCTTCACATAGAACAGTCTCGTTTAATCTGGTTGTATATTTCCGTCTCGAAGCTCGAGGTGTCTAACAGTCAGGTGATCGTGTATCAAATCATTTGCACTTGACTGTTAATGTAACGCCTCGGTTACAGAAGTGCAGTTCAGTCCTATATTTAGGTGGTACCCAATTAAGATATTTTGCGTATGTTTTTGTTTAAGCCGCATCAATATATTTTTTTTCTTAAATCAATTTTTATTATATTTTTTTTTTAATTTCAAATGGAAAAGGAGTGGGTTTGCATGTACGAAGTGTCGAGTATTATCACTCGGCTGACAGATACGTGTCTTTGGCTCAGAGGTTAGCACTGTGGAATATCATGCCGGACGCCTGGGTTTGATCCTCTTCAGGGTACATGACATGAATATATATACTCCTTGTTCTTCCACATCGGCACAAAACTATATGTCATGGGTTGTGAATGAAAGACAAGGAAAATACATATTCCTGTCAAGTGCTCAAATTGGAATCGAATCTGATGGGTCTCCAACATGATAACCCATGGCTCTTCCAGAGAAACAACTTCACCAAAGAAGCATGTTTCAGTCAGGGAGACTGCTACTTAGACTCAACACTGACCAGATACATAATTTTATATGTAAACATGTATGCGCAAGACAAATTGTTTCAGTCGTGCATTAAGACAGGATTTTTATTCACTGACAAAATATTACTTGTGGTTGTTTGACGAAAATGTCATAGCAATTGTAGTCTCACCACTTAGCTGATATTGCTAACTCCAGTCTAGATTAGGATGATGGTGATGACTGAATCAGAACAGCTTTTTTCAAGCCCAAAACTCTGCAATAATTCATTTCAAGATTTTTTTTCCATGTGTAGCAAATCATTACAATACTGTCAATTAAAAACCTTTAATTACTCGTCTGCATACTGTATATGATAGTGATCTTCAGATTGTCTTTTTGCTCAACTAGTATGATCAGATCTTCTCTCCCAATATTGATTCAGTTAGATATCTCCCTCTTGCTTTTTTCTAAAAAAGATAGCCAATTGTTAGATCTGTTAAAGGTATTCTTGCCCAACATGTTAAACTCTTTAGAAAAATGTTTCATGTATATTGAATCAAATGTTTGTTCATTGTTTTTGTATTAGTTGATATTTATTTGAATATTTTTATCCTCTTTTTTTTTTAGACACCAAACTCTATCACCACCACCACAGCTGGAAAAAGAAAAAAAAATGAGGAGAGAAATTGCAAATAGCAATGAGAGACGACGAATGCAGAGCATCAACGCTGGATTTCAATCTCTTAAGACGCTAATACCGCATCATGATGGAGAAAAATTGAGCAAGGTAGTTATATACTCAGAATATTTTTACATCTCAAGTTGGAAAATAATGAGTTTTATTATTGAATTTGATTTCATTAAAATTTGCTGAATCATTGCGGTCTTCACAAATATTTTTACAAATGACTTGAACACCTATGTTTATGATGGGTCACCTGTGAAACAGAGAAAAATCAGCTGATCATCAGTGTACAGTTCAAGTTCAAAAAATCTGGCATTGTGCCAATATCCCTAGCTGTGTTGCCAAGTATGGCTAGTGCACCAAGTGGCAAAATTAATCTTCTTGTCTAGACTAAAGGGGAAGCATCCAATGTTGTGTCATACTATCTGTGAATCATTATAAAGATCACAATCAATGTATGCAAAGTATCTTGGATGTGGTATATACATTGTATTGGTACATGTCTGCTTTGATCATAATCCCCTGATCCACAAATAATCTCCAAAACCACTATGCAGACATACATGTATCGCGATCAATGTTCATTATTGGTATTGTGGCAAGCTGCTGCTCAGCTGGATCATGTGATGACCAGGGGTCATCTAATGAGTATGACCTGATGAGGTCAGTCTAGGGAACAAGTTGGTCTGTCTGCAGTCTGCTACTAACTTAAGAAGCTTAAATACACATACAGGCAACACACATACTGTACTGTATGTATATTGTGTGTATATATTCAGTCCTCTGATACAATTTCAACACTAATAATTGAAAGCTATACCATTTTATCATTGAATTGTTTAATCTTATTCATTTTTGATATTAAAGACAAAATTGTGTCAATGCTTCTATTGTTTTTTGCATTTGTATTGTAAACAATTTTTTTTCTCTCCAGGCTGCCATTTTGCAACAAACAACAGATTATATTCAAGCTCTAGAACAAGACAAGTCCAAATTGATTGCTCAGAATACCCATTTGAAGCGCATTTTGAGTGATTTTGATACTGGAGAAAGACTACAAGAGGGTGTCTACCATGATTCACCTCCTCCAAAGCGGAAGAAGCGGGATACCGGTAAGAACATTTACAAAATGCCGATTGTGGCATGCCTCATGAATGAGAACTAAAAACTGTCAACTTGTCATTGAATCAAGAATAGTTTCTGAATTTCACATGTATTTGGTCCCATTCAAAATATATATATTTCACTCCTGAAAATTTTCTTCACAAGTGATCAGTTTTCTTTCCAAAATGAGATAAAAGACCCTTTCCTGTGTGAGAGGTTAAACAAATACCTTAGCATTGGACTAGACTGAGGTTACCAAATTTTGATATTGTGTATTGTATGCTGTTATGGTATATAATTTGATTACTGTGGACCCCGGAATCTAAAACTAGTATTTTGGATGGTACATTTCAGAATCTTCTGATGAAGGTATATCAGCTGATTATGATGCTGTGGAGGACATAAAACGGGAAATGATGGAATTAAAATGTCAACTGGAACAAGAACGTCAACTCCGTATGATACTTGAGGAAAGGGAAGCACAAGAACGGATCAGACAGTTGGCGTCTCGAGTAAACATGCAGGTTCAAATGACGAAGGATAAAATGGTAATTATTGTAGGAAATTGTTTATCTGCATAATTGTATCTTGGTATGTGATGTGATTGAGGAAAAATATTGAATCTTGATCAAACAAAATTATAAAAAGAAAGTATTGCAGTAATGATGCCTATTTCTAAATCCACCAAGAATTGTAACCTTGTTGATTTAAAAATATATACGTAGTTTTGATTTTATGATTTTAATTAATGTGTACGTACCGTCAAGAGAATCTGTCAATTTTATCATACATTTTTGAGGTGGATAAAAAGGGGAAGTTTTGATAGACCACAGCATAGATGTATTTATTGATTTATTTTCAGTTGTAGCTTATCATAATACTACTGATTATGAAATTTAGGGTTGGCGAGTTTATATGAAATAGTTTGATTTAAGGAGAATTTTTTTTATTGTAGATTTACATGGATCAAATTAATGAAGACAGGCATGGACACATTGTGAAACCTGATTGCGAAAGTCCAATGTCTGAATCAATGTCGCGCAGAAACCTAGAAACAATAGTTGAAGCTATCCGTCATCTTGAAGGTGATGGACTTCAACTTCCCCCAGATGTAACGGATAGACATTGTGAAGAAAGGGTGATCATTCCACATAGTGAGGAGAGTGAGAAGGACAGTGGCTCGGAAGATATCAAATCTGAGTGTTCCAATAGAGACTCCCCATTATCCTATGTTCAACAAGACCAAGAGTCTTCGCACATGAGTCCAACAAGTTCACACCAAATTTACCACAAAAATTTCCCTATTGCGCGGAACCTTCTGCATGGTAATATGGCGTCACAGTTCTATTGTCGACCAGGTGTAATAGTTCAGAAATTATAGGCATAGTATAAGGTTGCCAACATGTACCATCATTTCATTTCTCATTGTATATAGTCATTTGCTTCACCTCCGGATTGGTGCATGCATCAAAAATAGCTTCTAAAGTTGTATTGCCCTCAATAACAATGAAAAATTAATTAATGATAATCAGAGATGGGTAGAAGTGGTTCTGGTGTGATCTAGATAAACAGAATGACTTCAGATTAGATATATAAAAGTCTATGTAGAATCACGAGACTACTTGCTGCATTTTTAGAATAATTTTAAAATCAATTTTTATATAAGTATTCAAATCATTGTACAAAAAGGCGTGGTTTTTTTTCAAGTTAATCATTTAGTTGATATTTAAATACATCAATCAGATGTATGTTGAATGCCAAAAAAGCAGTGAACAACATAAATACAACAGACAATTTGAAATCCAATATGAGATCAAATGTATTGAGTCAAAATATTTCTAGACATTCGCCCAAAACAGAAATTTTAAATGATATTCATAACTGAAGATGTGCAGACATTTTGTATTCCTTTTTATAGCTACTGGTCATCAATGTAAACTGTTCAGTAGTGTGTGTGAATTTTTCTAATTGTGAAGTATAGCTACTTTGTATGTGAACAGTACCAGTGAAGTCTTGCATTTAAAATCTGCTGTAAGCAGCATTCCATTTTCTTCTACTGCCTTATCTGTTTATGTATATATATCAATCTTCATTACCTTCATCAAAAGAAGGAATTGTATGTGTAAACTTGTAAATGGTTAACAATGGTCCAAGATCTAGATGAATGAAACAGATTTGTGTTGCAGTCAAAATATTGATGCAACACAAAATAAAATGATTTATAATATATGAAGAAATGTGTTACATAGTGCTTGTACATTTAAATTTCATGACTGGATGCCATAAGAAATGGATTGCTTGTTGATAATTATAAATACTGTATACATGTCAACTTCATGTAAGAATGTAAGTTAAAATTGTTATAATTATTTGTTTTGAAAGATGGTTGTATACTTGTGATTTATTACCTGTGCACATGTTGTCATTTCCTTTCAGATGGGATTATTAGATGCATGATGATATGGCTTAAAGAAAGCTAGAAATTGTGTTCTGTTTGGGTAGGTTTGTTTCTGAGAAAATTTGAGAATCTGCACAATTTAAAAGCAGGTGATTAGCTAATTGACTTCATTATCTATATTGCTGAATTGTGATTCTTCAGATTAAAAATTATTTTGATAGAAAATCTATTTTACTTTTATCATTATTTAATTTTTTAAAATGGAATGGGTTACATACAAATTGAAAAATAGATCACTATTCAAGAATAAAAGTAACTTTTGGGGAAATGCAGAGACAATTTTTCCTAATAATCTGGAGTTCATGTAATTTGCTATCATTTGTACAGTCAAGAGGATACTAAATCAAAATATGTTGATATTCAAATCTGATGTAGAAACTGAATATAGAGCTACAATACACTGTGTGCACTCACAGGAAGTCTGATGTATAGTTGTTTGTTTGTACATGAACCAATATGGCATACAGCTTCATAGAGTTTAATACCAGAAACTTGATATCTTTGAATTTTTTCATTAGTATTTTTCTTACATTGTGAAGTTCTACCATATGATGTACATGTGTTAATTTTCTGTAAGTTCGTGAATTATCAAGAACTTTATTTAATGCACATGACAATGCAAGCCTAAAACTGGGTTTAATTTCCAACAGATAAATAGAGCTAGAAGTGGTTGAAATTCAATGTTTTTCTCTGCAGAATATCAAGGGAGGTTTTAGGTTGCAAAAATTTGGGGAAGAAAATCGTTAAATTCATAGAATTTGCATTACCACTTTCAAAATAACAGGAGTTGTATTGCTAATTAGTTAACTTAACAAATGAATCACTTGTTGAAATGATTATGAAACAATATTCGTTTAAAAGATATTTCTGCAGAAAGAACATTTGTATTTCCAGCACTGTCTTTCATTGTCTTGTTGGGAAGATCCAGATTTGTGACGTTGATTTTTGAGTATTTATAATTTGTAATAGATGTTCAGTGTGTACCACAAACTTTTCATTCAAATAAGATTTTAAAGTTCATCTGTATTTACAATTTATACCAAACAAATACCACAAGTCTTGTCCAAATATTATTTAATATATATATACATTGCCCTCAAAATTGTCTGAAAATGTGATTTTATTGGTTGTCTAGAAAGAGTAATATGATTTTGTGTCAATTGCATTGATGTTGCATTCAAAATTCTAAGAATAGAGGTCAGAGAACAATACACATAACTCAGAAGTGTGACACATGTAGTACTGATGGGTCATCAGAAATATAAGGTTTTAAGATACTGTCAGTCCTTTACGTCATGTTTATTATATGTATACTATAAAGTGACATCTTGAACTTGAAATGCAGCTGATGTTGATGGTTATTCTGAACTTGTCCGGTAATTATGGGGTAAATTTAATGCAACCGTGAAGCTTTTTTTTTTTTTTTAACCCTGAATTATTCAGAAGCCTACACCTGTTTAAATTTTAAGATTTGATAATGTTATTTTAAAATAAAGTTGTGGACCTGTAGGAAATGCTTTACTGCTTTAATGATGCAGACTCCACTGTGCTTGCAGAAAGGGCTCTTTATTGAAGAATGTTAGTATCTCCTTATTAAAATGTACTGTAAATATGTGTGCTGCACCAAAAATGAAAACATCTTAGTATTAAGGTTTTTGATGAATTATTCTCAAATCAGTTCTAAATATATGTAGTTAATTGATTTAAGAAATCAGTCTGGAGTTTACTTGCATATCCAAGTAGAACAATCACTGTGTTAAAAACTTAGCTATTAATCCTTGCTTGAACCTCTCTAACTTTAGTTAAAGCAAATGCTCACCAGTTGCCTATCTTCCTACATTAGATGTATATCTATTGCTTGAAGTTTGTATCAATGTATTATCAATTTTGATATTGATGTCATGTAGTTAGTGCTATTGAATGAATTTCGGGGGAGTGGGAGGCACTGTCTTGTAACTTGTCACCTTTATTGTTACTGGGGCCCACTATACATCCTTTAATTATTTACCCACATAGAAAGTGCCTCTCTTCACTTCCCTTTTTCCCCACCTCTGTATGTCATTTTATAAAAAAAAAAAAAAAAAACCCATACATTTCAACTATGTTAGATATACATTGATTAATAAGAAAATTCCAAAGATTTTAAAAGGTTGCTCAAGAGGTAGTGAACATGACAAACTAGCCATTAGAATATTGTTTGATAAGGTTTCCTAAAAAATGGATTGTTTTGTTAATTAAATAGGAGAAGAAAGAAATAGGAGGAGAGTTTGAACACTGCAGAAATTATGTTTGATGTGATGAAGTTTACGGACAGTCATTTGCATCAATAAAATAACAGTCGTGTTTTCAGGTGTACATGTACTAATAATGGAAATGAAAATTTTAATATCCTGACAATTACTTGACAACTCTGGAAGACTACAAATTAACATATTGGTGGAAAATTTGTTCAATGTGTCATTGTAAAAAAAAAAAAGAAGTATCCTTTGAAGTTGTCAATGTTTTTCACCTTTATGACATGGCTTCTTTAGTTTATTAAGACAAAATTGAGAGTGCTCCCTGTATTATATATTGTGAAATGTTATTAAAGGAAATGGTTCACGAGAATGTTGAACCACTCTCTTTGTATTAAAAGTGCGAGTGTGTTATTGCTATCAATCATTTATGTATATATCCATATAATTTATTGATTGATAATAAAAATTCCAGTATGGTGACATCTGATTATTATATCATTAAATCATCTACTCCTTTGAATATGTCTTGTGATGTTATTTAATTCTGGAAAGGAACAGGATTCTATACTATTGCGGAAGTGTTTAAAAACAATTTGTGGAAACTGTGGAAAAGAATTTTCAAACATCAGCATCTTCCTCAACTTTGTTATCCAGTGGTGTCTTTCGCATTGGAAAAATATTGATTTTATAGATGTACAAACCTTTGATATTAAAAGTAGGACTGGCATTATCAACTGATTAAATCATTTTTGAGAAGTCAGCTGGATCTAGTAAGGGAAGACAATTAGTAAACGTAACTGGTATTCTGAAGTTCTTCAACATTATTACAGGGGAAAGTACAACGTTACTACCCATCAATAGGCGAAAACATTCATCGTAGATCTTCTAATACAGAATATTGATATATCGTCTCTTGGTCAAGTTCTAGGTAATGCTCGAGCAAAGCTGCTGGTGTAGAAGGGTGTTAAGTTCTTGATGGGATACGAGTTATCTTCATGGACATGGTTTGTTTCTCGAAATGCAGAACAGAAGATTGTGTTAACTGAAAAAGAATCTTGAATGTTTCTTCTTGGAGGACAGTAAGATAATTTGCCAGTTTAAATTTCGTTCCAACTAAAAAATGGTGTAAACATTTCCGATTATACATAAATTAACGTTCTAATCTAGAGATGAAACACTCTGACGTTATCCAGGCTCTGAATACCATTTAGTTACGGGTCTTTCAAGCACCTGTTCTACGTGGTCATTGCAATATTCATATGTGCATAAATCCGTTGTTGCACTAAGGACGCTGATCAATTCTTGTCGGAGATTCAAAACAATGCCCGTGACAGGGCTAATATTGGGAGATGTAGAGGATGCTACAGGATTCGAGAAGTAATATGTACCTTTTTGGAACAGATGTGCCCGTTTGTTCGGAGCTGCGTACTGAATCTTTAGGTCACCTGAGACGCATTCTACTGTTCCTGGATGGAAAATTTTATATAGAAAAATTCAAATCTTAAGTGAAATTTCTTTTAATTCAAACTTTGTTAGAAGCCTTAGCATGGGAATTTGCATTATGTGTACAATATAGTTAAAAGTTATATTACTTTTTTAACAAAAGCATTTCGATGACATGTTACAAGAACCATTGCGACTCGGGTGACCATTAAGACACTTGAGCCCCAGGTTCTTTTATGTGCAAAACTGTTAGATTAAGTATATACTTCACAGAATTAAGAACATTTACTAAATAATCCAGGAAGCAGGTTCGAGCTCCCCAATCATCTTGAAATCTTGGCCAGACATCTTAGTAACACCATTCTCAGACTGCGTATATGATATGCTATCAAAGATGTTTAGAAAGATACTGCCAGAAAAATCATGTCAGTTAACAAAAGTCTAAAACCATATGATCCCGAATGACCTGCTGCAACTATTTGAAAAGTTTGTAATACTTTCTGGGCGGTAAGGCAAAATAATGAGATAAACCCTTCTTCGTGGAAAATGTTCGGGCTACTGTATAATTTCTGTAGCACTAATCCGAATTGTTCTGATGGGAACCTTATTTTCGTTTGTATATCAAACAGACTAGAGACGTTTTGTCCAATGGAAAGCACTTATGGAGTTAAAGATGAAATAAAATTTAAAGATGAAATCAAAGTTTAGAACATTTCTTTAAATCTACACCATGTTTTTCCTTTAAACAAAGTTTTATCGGTGTCATCACTTTTAGCAAATAATTTGTTTTATATTTAGGATTACCTCTATATCGTTAGACTCATGTTTTTCATGGCACTATGGTTGTATGAATTCTCAATACTCCAAGGACATTTAAATCAATTTGAACAACAAAATTATAGGCATGTAATGTCTGGTTTCTCATTTCAGCAACCTCGCATAAACATTCTGAAATATTCGTATAAATGGTATAAAATTTAACCTAATATTAATTTTCCAGTCTTGTATGGCAGAGACAAAATATATAAACTGTTTCGCAATACCACGCCATAGAAATCTACATTCCGTTACGCCTCCATCGATCGCGCCCCAGGACTAGCTACCACACACTACCGTCTGAGCGGGGAGCTGATTAACCTATATCTGAACGCTACACACCGGTGGAAAACGTTTAGAAATTTATTCCATTCAGGTGTTGTTATGTCCGGAAATACAACTATTCATTGAGCTATACGAGTGTGTCTACACTACAGTAGTATAGATAGTAAGGTAGGGCTGATACGCTTCAGTGCTTACATGGAATTCTGCCTTACCACAGACATCTTGTTAAGTTTCAATTTAGATTCAAGATATGGGCATATTTTAAATTAGAAGTTTGTAGTGGTCTAGTTAAATGGTTTGTGTGTATGTTTATATGTGTTTGTATTGGTATTACATTATAAGATTAATACAACCACAGAGTCCCGCACACCATTAGGGAGACCACGTACAGTTTGGCATTGATCATGTCACATTCTTGTTAGCATTCTGCATGCTTTGCAATTCAATACACACAGATGACTTCCCCTGATTGATTATATATCGATAACCCATGCTTTTGTCTCAGTGGACCCCAGTACGTTGTATATTAGCCAGGTATATAAACAACATTTCACATATATACATATGTAACGATCCGAAGATTTAATTGTTAGTGACGTAACAGTTTTGTTTCTGTAGTTTTGATAAGTGGCCAATATTTAAATATCATATTAATGGTTTCTACTGACAAATACATACAGAATAATTTCAAGTGGTTAACATTTAAACTACAATCGTAGTGTTATCAGTACTAGAATTTGGTGTCGTTTCATTTTTTTCAAGAGTAAGTACACGTGTAGACAAAGCATGAACCTCAAATGACTTGATGTAATGTGCCCTCACATGACTTGATGTATTGTGTCCTCACATGACTTGATGTATTGTGTTCTCACATGACTTGATGTAATGTGTCCCCATATGACTTGATGTAATGTGCCCTCACATGACTTGATGTATTGTGTTCTCACATGACTTGATGTATTGTGTTCTCACATGACTTGATGTATTGTCCCCATACGTCTTAATGTAATGTGCCCTCACATGACTTGATGTAATGTGTCCCCGTATGACTTGATGTATTGTGTTCTCACATAACTTGATGTATTGTGTTCTCACATGACTTGATGTAATGTGTCCCCGTATGACTTGATGTAATGTGCCCTCACATGACTTGATGTATTGTGTTCTCACATGACTTGATGTATTGTCCCCATACGTCTTAATGTAATGTGCCCTCACATGACTTGATGTAATGTGTCCCCGTATGACTTGATGTATTGTGTCCTCACATGACTTGATGTATTGTGTCCCCACATGACTTGATGTATTGTGTCCCCACATGACTTGATGTAATGTGTCCCCGTATGACTTGATGTATTGTGTCCCACATGACTTGATGTATTGTGTCCCCACATGACTTGATGTATTGTGTCCTCACATGACTTATGTATTGTGTCCTCACTTGACTTGATGTATTGTGTCCCCACATGAATTGATGTATTGTATCCTCACATGACTTGATGTATTGTGTCCCCACATGACTTGATGTATTGTGTCCTCACATGACTTGATGTATTGTGTCCCCACATGACTTAATGTATTGTGTCCTCACTTGACTTGATGTAATGTGTCCCCACATGAATTGATGTATTGTATCCTCACATGACTTGATGTATTGTGTCCCCACATGACTTGATGTATTGTGTCCTCACATTCCTTGATGTATTGTGTCCCCACATGACTTGATGTATTGTGTCCCCCACATGACTTAATGTATTGTGTCCCCGTATGACTTGATGTATTGTGTCCCCACATGACTTGATGTATTGTCCTCACATGACTTAATGTATTGTGTCCCCACATGACTTGATGTAATGTGTCCCCGTATGACTTGATGTATTGTGTCTCCACATGACTTGATGTATTGTGTCCCCACATGACTTGATGTATTGTCCTCACATGACTTGATGTATTGTGTCCCCGCATGACTTGATGTATTGTGTCCCCACATGACTTGATGTATTGTGTCCCCACATGACTTGATTTAATGTGTCCTCACATGACTTAATGTATTGTGTCCTCACATGACTTGATGTATTGTGTCCCCACATGACTTGATGTATTGTGTCCCCCACATGACTTAATGTATTGTGTCCCCACATGACTGAATGTATTGTGTCCTCACATGACTTAATGTATTGTGCCATCTCATGACTTAATATAATGTGTCCCCACATGACTTAATGTATTGTGTCTTCACATGACTTAATGTATTATGTCCTCACATGACTTAATGTAATGTGTCCCCACATGACTTAATGTATTGTGTCCTCACATGACTTAATGTAATGTGTCCTCACATGACTTAATGTATTGTGTCCTCACATGACTTGATGTATTCCACATGACATGATGTATTGTGTCCCCACATGACTTGATGTATTGTGTCCCCCACATGACTTAATGTATTGTGTCCCCACATGACTGAATGTATTGTGTCCTCACATGACTTAATGTATTGTGCCCTCACATGACTTAATGTAATGTGTCCCCACATGACTTAATGTATTGTGTCCTCACATGACTTGATGTATTCCACATGCCTTGATGTATTGTGTCCTCACATGTGTTGATGTATTGTGTCCCCACATGACTTGATGTGTTGTGTCCCCCACATAACTTAATGTATTGTGTCCCCACATGACTGAATGTATTGTGTCCTCACATGACTTAATGTATTGTGTCTTCACATGACTTAATGTATTGTGTCCTCACATGACTTAATGTAATGTGTCCCCACATGACTTAATGTATTTTGTCCTCACATGACTTGATGTATTCCACATGACTTGATGTATTGTGACCTCACATGACTTGATGTACTGTGTCTCCACATGACTTGATGTAATGTGCCCTCAGTTGACCTGATGTATTGTGTCTGGACATGCCTTAATCCATTATGACCTCAATTTACTTTATATAATGTGTCCTCAATTG